GTGAGGGCATTGACTTGATTGTTAAAATACTCCTGAAATATGTAGAGCACACCTTGTGCAGACAAAGCATGGAGGCAAGAGTTAGACTATTTTCAGAATAAATTATCGTTTTCATACAGGGCCCTCAACGGAAGCCCTGGGCCTTGGAAACACTGGAGTCAAGAAACAAGTCGTATCTAACTAATTTTAAGGAATGCAATTGTCCACACTACATTTTCAAAATACAGTGGTGGGTTCAGGAATTCCAAATAGAGGGGGACAGGGAGGGGCTTTTACACATGGAGTGTAGACCACCTCAGCCCCACCATGGTTGGAAATGAGATAAGAACATTTATGATTATGGCATCTCAGTTAGCCGGAAATGGTACTCTCAGACTTAAATTTAAATATAATTTTCTTTTTTCTCTACTTTTATATTTAAAAAAAAATAGGGAGGGTGGGCCGGCTGTCTGGGCCCCATTGAATCTGCCACAGAAATACTCATCATAACGTTTGTTTTAAATTTATCCTGGTAATCATAATCATGCCCGCTTACATATTTCGTGCAAACTACTGTAACATTCATAAAATAATGATTTATTATAGTCACTCCAATTCTATCTTTGCATGTGCATTACTTTTAAAATTAATCGAGAGCTTTTTCCTTTTCTCCTCTTTTTGAATTTAACTTTTGTGCGAGTTGTATAGCGACTATTGTGAATGGAAATACTAACGTCTAACTTACGATGAAAGAGGACTAAGGAGATAGGAAGCACACACAACATTAGTTAGCATTTTCATTTCACAAACATATAAAAGGTGATTTACTTAATTTATCATTATCATGGCAGGGGCGGATCAGAAATTTTCTGACGGCGGTCGGGGAATTGGTCGAACACACCCACCTCTGCCTCACCGCTGGGGTGAGCAAATTTTAAGAATATGCCCCTCTAGACGCTCGGAAATGGCACTCTCAGATGGTGGTAAAACAGTCCCGTAGCGTGGGGGGTTAAGGGGGTTACGACGAACCGCCCAAAAACTGGAGAAGGTCCACATTTAAAAACGAAAATTGATATTCGTAGATATTATTAACTCACGCTACGGGCCTGTAAAAGTGCTTTTTCTAAGCAGTCTCCTCGACAAAATTATTTACTTTTCCCGACGGGAAATCTGCTCCCCCTCCCTTAGGCATCCCTTCCCTCACGGGCGTCGCAATTGACTAATTATGGACCTATAATCTATTTTATACTGGGAGTTGCAAACCAAATTATGATTATGCCACCTCTGATGCCCGGAATGGTACTCATTCAGAGTTAAAATTTATATATTTTATCTCTATCATTTTTTTAAATTTTGACAAATGTAGGGGTCATGATCGGCTGAGCACCCCATCACAACTGGATAAATATGATACATCTCCTATATGTCCTGTTAGAAACATATTACTGTATAATATATATATAAACAAAGCCCTATTTAAATAAGGGTGCTATAGAGCGAGGACCCTATGTGTAGGGTCACCGCACTCCTTTTGCCAACTGGTGTGACCGCCACTGAGCTCATGGGTACACTTTCTTTTCCCCTCTTACACTTGAACTAGGCCTTATATCATTTGGCTAGCAGTACAGTCAATCTACCGATTGACCCGGAATTAATTGCAATAGTTTTGATTTTAAGGCTATTACACTTTATGTGTATCCTAAACAACATATCAAAAATCTGAAGAAAAAAAAAAAGTATTTGGTGAAAGCCTTCCAAATTCGGCATTCAAAAAAATATCTAGGTGAAAGGTCATGACAATATAGTTATTATATCTTGTTAACTACCAGTCCTAGGGAGTTGCTTTTGGTGTCATATGGTTCAGAATAGGTATGTTCCTATTTGGTCTAATGGGAAATGTGGTCTGAAAATGATCGGAAGTGCCTTATTTGACCTTTGACATATAACATTATTTTCCTATCTCTAACTATACAACTAAACTAATCTCAAAATATACATTAATATGCCTGTTTCCTCACTACATGTCTCTGTTGATGTTGAACAAGATATGAACTTTGACCTCAGTCATTATACTTAAATTACATATTTAATATCAAATCTAATAATTAAAAGATGGTTTACAAAAAAGGAAAACTATTGCATCATTATTAGGAAATAAACATAATACGACCTACCAGGCTAAAACTTAGTCATTAGGCTTTCAAGAGATCAAAAGGTCACATGGACATGTATGCCAATACCAACTTATTGAATCAAACTGTATTATACTAGTGCAGTCAATCTATTTTAATCCTATTATTACAAAATGTTTAATGTTAGGCATATGCACTTTCCTCAGCTACTTTTATACATATCTTGACCATATGTTTGACCAATCGAATATATCATTGCATTTGCAATTGAAATAGTTAACAATTTCAATAATAACCAAAAAATGTGTTTAGAATTGTAATCGAGCTTCTTGCATCAAGGCAACATAGGGCACCGTAGTTATATCATGTCCAGTCAAGAAGGATGATGTTGCAATACACACACCTGTGATGTTTGTGGAGTGTCTGTTTACTCAAGTTAGAACGGTTAATAACGCACACAACTGACTACGGTATAACGTTTACTCGCATGCTTTATTTCCACACTCTAGCATCCTCATTTCCAACATCGGTATTCCACATAATAGAGGGCGGTGTCCAAGGCTACGACATTACATCCCTCTCCCCCTTAAATGGAATTAACGTCAGTCTATTTGGTAGACTTTGTATTGTACATTAGAGCAGTATTAAGATGTATTATTTATTTAAGTCAGTTAGAAGACGACCTTAATTTGTAGCATAAGTACCTTGCTTTGCTAAGTTGTTACTATGGGTTTCTTATTCTTATTTATTTATTTTTTTTCTTTAACGTTTAAAAACTATTCTCAACATCATAAACAACAAAATTTTCAAAAGTTCCGTTTTTCAAATCAGTTACATAACATAGTCTTTTAGTCGGCTTGGAAGTCTGATGCTTCTCTTTGGTCGTTGCCTATCTGGTGTTTGAGGTGCTGGGGCAAACTGAGGTGCCGGGGTTGGTTCATCGTCATAGTCACTATCGAGCTGAAGCTGTTGATTGTAGCTTTTACTCTTAAGTCGGTCAGCCTTTTTGAAAAACGATGAATTCCTGGTGATTGTGTGATTTCCATTGTATGCTGATATCATGGTGCCATTG